TCCTTAATTATTTAATTGATCTGCAGCACCTGGGTTAATTCAGTAATTAAGGATAAATTCAGTACTTGTTAGGCAGTTTAAAGTTCAGTACTGGCAGGGAATCCAAGAGCCCAGATTTGTTCCTGGTGCCAGAAACATTACAGTAACACAAGCATTAAAACGTCAAGCACAACTATGCAACACGTACCACAATGTTCTTTCTCATATAAAGAAGAAAAAGTAATGCACTCACGAGTCCACATACCTTGTATTTAATAGCTTGCTTTCAGTGAGCTAAATTATTAAATTGATACAGTGGTGCTTTTTGTTTCAATTGGAGATTTCTTCATGTGTCAAATTGTATGAAACCTGAGTAGAACAGGTTGGCCAAACCTTACTGAATACAGGTCTTTGTTGTGATTTTGGGGCAGTTCCCAAACGCACAACATTGTTATAGCATGTCTTTCAAGGAGAACCAGAGAATGAGTACAGGAGAGCACAAAATACAGAATTACGGGGAATTTAGAGACACGGAAATGAACCTTCTATTGTAGATGCACAGATGTTATCTGAGTCATATGACATCAGCTTCACTGGAATGATAAGTAAAGGTCAACATTAATGGATTGTTAGGTCAGAATGGTTCAAGCCAATAAGAGTCAAGGTGATTTTTGAATGACACTTTTACTGTATGTTAATTAAAAAAATAATCAATACAGAAGCAGCCAGTTGTTGTGTTTCAGTATTATGAGCAAGGCAGAGGATAAAACGTATTTTATGACAAAAAGAACTAAATTAAATGAGTCTGAACACCTGCAATCAAGTAAAATGCCTTTATTAAGGCACAGACTCCAAAGCCATTATATTTCATTTTTTTCTAAACCTAGTCTGTTTCGGCAGTTTGATTGTGTGAGTAAATGTCATGGTCATTTGCAATTACAATAGCACATGCCGACAAGCAACTGGCTAAAATTTCCATTCCAACACAGTTTATGGAATTTGGGATAAAGATTTTTTGAGAGGGGATCACTGCCAGTGCTATAATTCAATATTTTAATATGTAATGGAAATGTATTATATTAATGTAGATTACTTATTTAACTTAGCTGCCAAACATACAGCTTTTGTGCCAGCCCAAAAAACCACTTCAATTTAACCATGAAATAATACTATTACAAAAAACAGGACCACGAAGCCCAACTCGCCTCAGTGCCTGCCTGGTCTGTTCTCCCTCACATCTCAGTAACACTGATGAAGTCAGAGCATCTCTGTGCTCTGGTAGAAATCCATGCATAACAGCAAAATCTGACCAACCCTTCAAATTCTGGGAGGAAGCTCTTTTATTACTCATCTGTGTTGTTACACAGTTGCCTTGGTAGTGACAAAAACTCAGAAATACGGTGCATTCTCTTGAACACATTACATGCTGGAGCTACATCTGTTGTTAGCGTTTATACAGCCTGACGTAATTAAGCTCTAAGCCTCAGTCTTAGGACTGTTAGGAGTGCAAGTTAAAATCCAAATATCACTTCAAAAGAAACAAAAACTTTCTGCATGCACCTGAGGCCGATTTGCCAGTTCTAGCATCTATGTTTTGAACTATTTTCACACCTTTAGGAAGGAACGCAGGGCATTGTACTAGCTATCCTGTCTCTGTTCCTTTGAATTATCAAAGCCGCAAATTTGGCTTACTGAACATTACTATAGTGTACTGTATTACATACTTCAACAACATATATTTATGTTAAATAAAGTCAGATGCTGAAACACGAAGTACTGTTTTGATAGCCTATGGCCAAAGATGGGGGTTAAAATTTTAGATTTTAGGAAACTAAGGGGTTAATATGTCATGGAAACAGAGCCCCACTGTGTCTTGGTGCAGAAGATAAAGAGCTGATCAAATACTGACTCTTTATTGAAGACATTCGCTCTTCTCTTCATCTAGGGGCCAATTTAAAGGAACTGCTAAAAGAGAACGTACCTCAGCAGATCAGTCACATCACCAAACAGTTCAAATTAAATAACTCTGCTGCTCCGGAAAGGTGTGTGATCCGACACATGGCACTCTGCCTCTCTGTCTCGCCCTCCTCTCCAGTGGGGCAAGGGCTTGTGGTCTATCCCTGCAGCGCTGGCAGGAGCTCGGAGACGCTCTCTACATAGAAGTCGGGCACCAACTCTGAGCGCGTGGGGCAGCCACTCTCCTGGTGAGCCTGGGCCTCTTCCAGCCTGGACACCCCCGTGAGGGTCAGCAGGGTCTTCAGGCCGCACCTGGTGCCCAGCAGGATGTCCGTGTCCAGGCGGTCGCCCACCATGAGGGTCCGGGCAGGGTCCAGGCCGTACTCGCTGGCCACGCACTCGAACATGAAGGGGCTGGGCTTCCCCACCACCTGGGCCTGGCGGTGCGCCGCCGTCTCCACCGCCCGCAGGAGACAGCCCGTCCCTGCAGGGAGAGAAGGGGGCACAAAACCCACAGGTCAGCAGGGCGGCGCTGGGCTGGGTGAACCCGCGTCGTGGTCACACGCATTAATTAAAGAACAGTTGGCGGTAAAGCCTTCAGTTACAGGGGCCCTAGCTTATGGAACAGTCTCCCACCACATATCTATGAACTGGGTTCATTACTGTGCTCTCCTCTGTGGCTCAGGATCTGCGCCTGTGACCGGAAGGTTGCCGGTTCAAATCCCGCGGCCGGCAGAGGAATCCTACTCCGTTGGGCCCCGGAGCAAGGCCCTTAACCCCAACTGCTCCAGGGGCGCCGTACAATGGCAGACCCTGCGCTCTGACCCCAAGCTTCTCTCCCTGTCTCCGTGTCTGTGTCTCCCTGGAGAAAAGCTGGGGTATGCGAAAAGACGCATTCCTAATGCAAGAAATTGTATAGGGCTAATAAAGAAACATTATTATTAGTATTATTAATAGCTGGTGTGTGGGGAGCGTTCTGGCGCACTATGGCTGCTGTCGCATCATCCAGGTGGATGCTGCACACTGGTGGTGGTGGAGGGGATCCCCATTACCTGTAAAGCGCTTTGAGTTGAGTGTCCAGAAAATCGCTATATAAGTGTAAACAATTATTATTATTATTATTATTCGGGATGCCGAGTCAATCTCAGCATTCAAATCCAGACTGAAGACCTCTTACTTCAGCCTAGCCTACTCACACCTTACATGATAGCCTGCTGCAACCATGGCTGCTGGTGCTGCTGTACATGCCATTGTGTGGCTCTGTTGGCCCAACAGGTAGATACATCTGTTCTGACCAAACTATCCTATTCTCCTCCCCACATGTGGGCTGGGCACCGTCTGAGTTGGACGCTGCATCACTGCCATGGATCCAAGAGGGACATCGTGGATATAGCTATCGTTTAGGAGGATTTTGCTGGTTTACAGAGATCTGAATGGAGTACTGACACACAGAAGACATGGTGGATGGATTAATACTCTCATTCATTTATTCCCTTTTTTTAATTCTATAATGTTAGCATGCTCAAAGGGGTTGGGCAGCCGGTTGACCTTGGACCCCTAGAGGGGTTTTTTCTCCTTACTAAGGAGTTTTTAAAATAACTGAAAATAATCAAATGCATAAGTATTCAGCCCCCTTGCTTTGACACACCCCAAATGACCTCTGAAGTAACTAACTCTCTTCTCCAAGTCACAGAATTACTTGGCTGGAGTCCACCTGTGTGCAGTTGAGGTGTTTCACATGCTATCAGAATAAATACTGTGTCCGGGAGCTTCCCGACTTAGTGCAATTCCGAGGAAACACTACACCATGAAGACCAAGGAACATTCCAAGCTGACCCCAGACAAGGTTCTTGAAAAATACTTTTCTATATGCACTGTATATAGTGCCTTTGAAAGTGGTTTCTCAAAGCGCTTCACAGGAAAGAAAAACACAATGAGAGGAGACTGCAGGATTACACAATTACAGTTAGGGTTTGGAATACAGTGGGAAAGCAATTAAACGAGTAAAAAATGAGGGAGGAAAAAAGGGAATAAAAACAGGAAAGCGGAAGACCGGCGAGAGGAGACACGCCGGCGTTCCACCCTCAACAGGAGACGAAGCAATTAAGAGGAGCAAGGACCCCAAGGACGGCCCAGCGGATGTGGAGGGGCGTTGTGAGTTCTCATTAGGACGCAGAATTCAAAGAGGGGATAACGACGTGTCAGCAGTTGTGCACGTTTGTCAGGAGGATCAGCAGAAATCTGCTTTCCTGCACAATGGCAATGGATTAGGTGGGGAAAGGGGTTATCTGAATAACTCCTTCTTGTGTCACGTCAAGGTTCAGGTCTTTCCAAAATCGGGAGCTTGTCAGTCAACTGAACCACGAATTTAGCCAATTTCTACCAGTTTAAACGGTAATTTCCTACCAGTTAAATTAGTAAATTTACCAAGCAGATCTTTTATGAATTCCCGCTTTCTAACTGTACGTAAAAAAAAACTCATGGGCAAATTAAAAACGTCTTTTTTTTTAGAAGCAGTAAATTAAAAATCTAGCAAATCAAATGAGTTCAATTAAACAACTGAAGGTCCAGTCCCTGCACACAGCCGCGTCACTGTACCTTGGACTCTCTGAAATAACTGATTTCAAAGTACGCAGACGCAAATGAGATCAATAAAACGTCAGGGAGGCGTTTTCTACAAACGTTTGAAAATGCTTTGCGTGTCCCCTCCTTTAGTCTGTATGTACAGCATTTAACAGGCATCTGGAAATCCTCACCCCGTCGCTACAGCAGGTAACGCCGGATTAAAACGCGCAGAAGAGCACCGCCGGTATGACGTCACTACCGCGCTGATGGTGCTAGAACAAGGCAGGGGGACAGTTGCGAAACGCTTGCGCGTCACTATCTTCACCTATTATAAAACGTTCAACAATCAAAATGCACGTATAAAACCAATGTACACACCTGGCACAGCCTTGCCACCTTCCAGCGGTAGCCTGGTATCAGTGTTGGTGCCTACGAATAGGCAGTCCGAGTTGCTGAGGTAGTGAAGCGCTCTGTTGAGCTTCATGTAGCTGAAATGCTCATCGAAGCCGACGAGCACGGCTTTGACTTCGGGATCCAAGGGCACACTCGCCCAGTCGCTCTGCCCACCCGAAATGGGGTCGGGGCCAACCCCCACATTCTGGATCCCTACGTTTTCCAGCTCCTGCGCCATGGCCTTGCTGCCAATGAGGTAGACTTTGCCGGCCAGCTTCGAGATGTGCTTCAGGTACACCGCCGAGCAGTACGCCGTGCCGAACACGTCCTCCTGCCGCGCGTCGAAGCCCAGCCGGCTCAGCTTCTCCGCGTACATGGCCCTGGTTTTGGTGCTGTTGTTGGTCACAAAAAACACCCGCTTCCCGTTCTTCTTCAGCGAATTGACGACGGCCGGGGCGCCGGCGATGGCCTGGTCCCCTCGCCAGATCACCCCGTCGCAGTCGAACAGGACGTTATCCACCGAGACCAGGAGCTGCTGTAGCAAGGGGCCGCTGAGTCGGTTGCATTTAGACGCCATTGAACCAGCAGATGCGCAAATTAGAGGGAGACACTGTGAGGTTCTGTGCCCCAAAGCCTTACTGTCACGTCGGCTCTTTCTTTCGTAGTCTGTTTTCCTGGAAACAAATTAAAAGTGAAATGTCCCGTTGGCAGATTAGCCGGTATCAAACAGATTCCGTTAAGTTCAGCTTCCCAAAGCCCTGGTATCTCGCCGGCTCCGTTGCAGCCCTTTTTTTACTGGAAATGAGCTGATTTGAAATGAAACTGGAAGCCGACACAGGTCTGAAGGGGGAAATGAGTCTTCAATGTCGCAGGATTACTCACTCGCAGACAGTACACGGGATTTCAAAGCCGACCTCCTCATTGCTCAATTTACAATGTAGCTGACCGGCCTTAAAGAAACAGTACTCTCATTTTTTTTTTAACTTCAGGCTATGAACACCTCAGCGCAGACGCATTAAAAAAAAACAGCCTTCACGATAGATTTATTTTCCAATTTAAAAGAATTAAAGTACTTGGCAAGCTCAATTCAATGCGACTTTGTAAGTAAATGTCTGGACAACATAAACTACTCAACACCCAGATGAAGCGTGATCACATTTTAGAAAAAAAACTCTGCAGACCAATATTTCTGACAACACTAGCTTTACTATTTAGGCTACAATAAAATTATTTTCAGGGGAATATCTTATTGTGAATACTGTGATTTGAGCGGTGTGAAGAATCTCTCAGATGTCGCAGTCAGTTGGGAAGAACATTACAGCGGGCTGCGCAAAGTTATCATATTTTTTAAAAGCATTTATATTTTCAGTTGTATGTCTTCTATTTTAAATCCCAGCAGCGCTTGTCCAACCCCAATTTCTCTGGGTACTAGCAGGAAAAACATTTCGGCCAAAAACGATGTTAATCGCTGTAAATCAGAGTGGGTAGAGAGCACCTCGTGCGGCGTAAATTCACGTCTTCCGTTGTGCAACAGAACCAAAGCAACAAGTGCAACACAACTGGCTAAATATAATATTTCCAGTGGTCCGGGTTTTAAGCAACTGCTATCGATCTTGTGCATATCCTGATCTGAGCCCTCCCTTCCCGTGCCCCTTTGTTGTTATGACGACGAGGTCGTAAATCCGCCATGTTTTTCCCGGTCGCGGCGTTGCGACAGAGACGGAGAGCCCAGACGACATGAATGTACAAAATAATAATACGGCAGAAACAGTGAGCGAGCAAACGGTAGCCGGCAACATCATCGCCATCCACACCACACTCGGGGACGAAGGTAAACACTTCTACCTTTCTCTTTTGCACATTCACCACGTTTGAGAGGCGCGGAAAACATGCTTATAAAAACAGGCCACGGCACAGGCCTGACCTGATATGTCTCGTCTATAGACCTTGTTGAACAGAAGGGATGATTGGTTGTAGGATTAGAAACTGCTGTAGCAGATAATTATGTATGTAAAACGTGCAATAATAGAAAAATGCATGGGTTGTGGACGACTATTTTGCAAGTTTTAAACCACGGGGGAATATTGGAATTCTAATTCTCATTCTAATCACATCCGTTTTGTAACAAGTTATATAGGTGATCGCTGTGTGGACTGGTTTGGTGCTCGTCCCTCTCAGAATTATTTTCGTTTTAACTCGGGTTTTACAATCTCCACAGCCGCGCGTGTCTGTGACCTCCTTTCCACTGTAGGATTTAATGTTTCGCCATAGGTTTGATGTAGGGGGCGGCGCCTTGGAGATTCCCATCAGGAAACGGTAACGAAACACAGGGAAACGCATTTACGGCGCGACTGTTTTTATTGGTTATCGGCGGAATTCCACCTAAACGAGTATAAATGCATACATCAAAAGATATTCAATCAATAGGATCAATGCCTCTCACGCTGATAAAAAGCATATTGCAAAAAACTCTATCGATGCATGGCTTTCATACAGAAGCATCGTCGGTGCTGTGGGAGAACGGTGCCCTTTACCAGAACAGGCAAGTTGCTGAGGTTGAAACTGCTGTTCTTGCAAAAGTTCAGCCCTGGCTTGATTGATGCCGGGAGGCCGCTGTGCTATCAGTGTCGCAGTGGCTCACTTTGGGCAGAGCATGTATTTCTTGCTCTGTGGCGTGATCAGGCTCAAATGAGGTGCAGAGCATTGCGCCACACTCTGTAGGGGATGGAGATCCAGATAGAGTTTTATTTTGTTTGTTTTGGTTGGCCTCTGCATGCAAACAGACTTGAGGGAGGATGTGAAAACGGTGATCTCAAACGGAGCACCAACACTGACCACATAGTTAAGAAAGCCCAGCAGAGGATGTTTTTTTTCTTACGCAACTCGGAAAACACAGAAGTGAACCGGCAACATCTCCTTCAGTTCTACACAGCCATGATCCAAAGTGTTCTGACAACCTCTATCCCAGTCTGGTATGGGAGCCTGGATAACTACTCCAAAGGCAAACTGGAAAGGATTGTGTCCAAAGCTGCAAAAAGTGTCGGCTTTGATCTCCCTTCCATTTCATCTCTCTATTCAAGACGTACCTCCAGTCCTGCCACGAAAATCATCTCCGACCCCTCTTCTGCTTTCCCCCTGCTGTACGTACTCTGAAGTCATGCTGAACTCTGAGTTCCATTGAATAATCATGCAGCAGCATGGAAAGTTGTTTACATGCTGTATGTAGGTGACAATGTTTGTTTGTCTTCTGTCCTACTTAAATTTGTACTGTATGTATGTCTCATCTGTGTTGTTTGCTGTACCGAAAGCAAATTCCACCAACTATTGTTGTGTGGCAATAAAGAATAATCTAATCATCTAATCTAGAGTTTATTTAAATGCCGTGCTTTCTTTACATTAGAAGGGTAACAGAATAAAAGAAGACCATTCTGCTCATTTAGAGTGCCTGGTTGGATGTAGCTAACAATGTAGAACAATATAACTACTTGGGGACTGTCCTGGACTCCAAGCTTAACTTCGAAGCCAATACTGACCTGATCTTCAGAAAAGGTCAACAGCTCCTTTTTTTTTTCTTAGGGAAACGGAAGTATTTTAAGGTCGATGATTCTTTGTTGGTTTTATTCCACCTGTCCTTCCTTGAATCTGTTCTAACCTTTACCCTGACCTGCTGGTTTGGCAACCGGAACCTGAGAGGCAAGAACAAACTGGGCAGCCTGGTGAAAATATGTCAGAAGGTCACTGGGGCTGATCTCCCAGCCCTCTCCTCCATCTGTCATTCACTTGCTTTGCGTAAAACAAAATCCATCCTCGATGATCCCTCACACCCCTTGTTTTAATCATTTCCAGTTACTCCCATCAGAACACAGATACCGACTCCCCAACGCCAAAACCAGCAGATTTAAGTTCTCATTCATACCTGTAGCCATATCCTTATTTAACCTTTGACCTTAAGTGTAAATATGTATGTATATTGTTCCTGTCTTTTGTTTTCTCCATTTGTCTGTTGCTCCCCGCTCTCTCTGACTGAATCAAGGGTTTGGCCCTGCTGTTTCTTCATGGCTGGTTTCAGCCTCGCTGGCTGCGCAACCGGTTCCCAGCCTGAAGGAGTTCAGCTGTTTCCGAGGAATGGCCTGAACGGTGTGGGGGTGGGTTTGTCATGGCGCGGCCAGTGTCACACTGGTTGTGGTTTGTGTTGCATTCCAGATGAGGACGTACACAAGTGTGGGCGCTGCCAGGTGGAGTTCACCAGCCTGGAGGCCTTCATCCAGCACAAGCTGCAGAACAGCTGCCTGAGGAGCCAAGAGGGGCTGCCCACCCAGGCACCCAGCAAGATCGTGCAGGAGCACAGCCCAGAGGTACACTCCCTGATCTCCTGCCCCGGCACCAGGAGTAATGGAGGGCATCCAAGCCCCTTGAAGAGCGAAGGGTTTATTTCTTGATTTCGTTCCCAGAGAGCTGCAGATTGTTACATTGTACCACCTGCTGGCTACGAGTGAACACGTCAAACCATGTGTCCCGGTTTAAAAACCTGTGGTGGTTTAAAGGTACCTAGAAAAACCTGCAGCCCTTGAGGGCTGGGGATACCTCCTGCTGATGGGTAAAAGAAGAAAACTTCACACAGCTTGCTTGTCCCATAAACACTGGTAAAGAATTACTGCATAGTGCAAACCTTGTGATGGTAAAGACTAGTCTCTCTTATTTCTCTGGGTCCAGACCTGATCATTTGTGTTGGTAGTGTTTTTTTTAAATATGCGTTTCAAAGGCATGTGGAGTTGAACTTTGCGTGTGACAGGATTAGAACTGCCAAATACCCTTTTTTGTGCATGGCAGTGTTGTTGCAGACCAGCGGTTTGAAATGAAAGCAGACATAGTCAGTTCGTGTTATTACTTAGCGTGGGTGTAATAACGCTCATCTGTCTTGCCATCTGGTGTCTGGATTTGTGTGAACTGGTATTGAAAAAGCTTTAAAGGTCAAAGATGAAGTGTAATGAACGAGAGCACTTAGGCAGCCTAGTGCATCTGGGTTAGGACAGGCTGGATCTGAGATATTTTAAGGATTGGGTGCCGCAGTTTTAAAATCAGTGCTTTCACAATCCTTAAAAGATCCTTTTTTGTCATTTTTCTAGCAGGTTGTGTTATCTGATGGAGTAGCTGTTACAGCAATAGTAGTCGATGATGGTGCTATTTCTTCAGAAGAGGTGGAGAGGCCCAGAAACACAGGTATTGTTTTTGTTTTTAATTAACAAATTAAAGTGGTGTAAATTGGGTTCTTCTGTAGGTACACAAGATGGCAGAGACCGTCAGATGTCGCACCTGCGTTTGGTGTGGTATTTAATGTTTAAACTTCCACTACAGATGTCACTGTGTTAAGGAAGGTTCTCTCTTGTGCACAGTGCAGAGCTCTTGGCTGAACCGTGTGATGTCTGTTTGCAGATGAGGCAGGAGCAAGGGTGTTACACTCTGGAGGGCATCCCAGGCGAGCTATCACCGGAAGGGACTGCAGTCTCTCTCAGAGCTCGGGCGCCAACCTGAGTAGGGGGCTAGACGTCTCCAAGAACACCTACCGGGTCAATGAAGAAGGGCGTTTGATCTGTCCCCTGTGTGAGAAGACCTTTAAAACAGTGCGTTCTGTATTGGAACATTTTCTTCCATGAAGTACACATCCACATGCTTCACGTGGACAAATTGTTATGAACATCTTTGTTTTTAAGCCGTATTAGAATACTATCTCTTGCTAAACGTGCACGAACATAGGAAGGCCGGGTGCTCGTGACTAATCTTTTGTTAGAACTGCTTATGGAGTTGGCTGCTTGCTAGTAAGCTGAAAATGGTTATTGGTGTTTGCACATAAGAATACATGTGAGAAAACTCTGCAGCAGGGTGACTGCATTGGGATATGTTGTGTTTTCAGACAAACATCCTGAGGACTCATCTCACCACCCACAGCGACAAGAAGAGCTTTCAGTGCAATCTTTGTGGGAATGCCTTCAGGACTAAGGGCTCACTGATTCGCCACAATCGGCGGCACACAGGTGAGATGGAGAGAAATCCACTACTGAGCTGTCCTTGCCCTAGTTCTGTCCAAACAACTGGACTGTTATTGATGATGATGTTATCCGGTCAGTCGGATCCGACTCTCGGCGATTCTATAGGCCATCTCTCGCCACGCTTTCCGGTCTTGGACTTTCCCTTTCAGCTGTTCTGTGCCTAAGCCAGTGTCCGTTTTGATGGCGTCGAGCCAGCTCGTTCTTTGGCGGCCTTGTCTTCTTGTTCCACTGACCATCCCAAGCATCATTGCTTTCTCCAATGAATCTGATCGCATCACGTGACCAAAATAAGTGAGCCGGAGTCTGGTGATCTTTCCCTCAAGCAAAAGTTCTGGCTTGATGCGCTCCAGAACCTCTTTATTGGTGACCCTTGCTGTCCATGGTATCCGTAACAGTCTTCTCCAGCACCATAGCTCGAAAGCATTTATCCTCTTTCGGTCAGCTTTTTTCAGGGTCCAGTTTTCACACCCATACATTGATATGTTATTAGTATGGAGAAAAACACTAGAAGCAGTGCATGCTATATATCTTGTGTTTTACCTCCCTGGCTGTCTCGTGTCTCTTGCCTTTGCAGATGAGCGTCCCTACAGGTGTAATCTGTGTGGGCTGTGCTTCAGGGAGTCGGGGGCTCTGACCAGGCACTTGAAGTCCATCACCCCCTGTACCGAGAAGATCCGGTTCAGCCAGTGTAAGGAGATCCTGGTCAATAAGGACGGTGTACAGAAAGGTAGGTGTCGGCAGGCTGCTTCAAGTCTGGAATTTTAAGTCTCCATTCTTAACATTTTGCTACCGTAGTTCCACATTTCCTGGCTCTACATACCAGACTTTTCCTAATTTACAGCTTTAATGGTGTGCTTCCGTTTAAGGATGAGGTGGGTACCCCCCTATATGTAAAAGTATTTTGGAATTATAAATAGGAGGCATTATTATTAATCCTAGTCAAAGTAGTGTGTCCGAGACACATGTGAAGCTACGAAGGACATTTATTGCATAACCACTAGTGAAAGGTAGCGGTCCTGAACGCCATTGTAGTTGTGTCTCTGCCAAGGTTGATTCATATTTTTAAGGACTGTTGGGAATGTATAGTGTAGTGCTTTTAGATTTTGCCACTAGCACGGGCACTGAGTGATTTCATTACTTAAGGTTGACTTATAGCTAATGTTTTCCTGTGTGTGATTTTTGTAGCAGGTTGAGTGGCACCATATGTCTTTGATATTGCTCAAGATCCTGGGAAATTGGTGACTTCCATCAGAACTTGATCACACTTGCGACTGGACAAGAATAAAAACAGTAGCCACTGATCCCTAAATAAACTAGATGCTCATCGTATTCTAGCCACGGGCTCCTGTATTTCTGTGAATGAGTGTGATGTGTTGTGGTGATCTGATACAGAACTGGCGACTGACTCCTGTCCCCCTGCTGAGCCTGTGGTGAACTTGGCGACCAGTTCCGAAGAGGAGATTGTTCACGAAGTCCACGTGCAGATGGAGGTAGACGGTGCTGAGCAGGTGTGGCTTTGCCCATTTTTTTATATCTCATTGGATTTGTTTAAAATAGTTTACTGTATGTCTGGATTCTCTTCCAGTGCTTCAGGACATATTTATTACTCGCACCATTAAGCAGTGTGTAGGATCCCAAGTTGTTTCCAATGCATGTAGATAAGGGAGGTGTCTGTTAGAGTTGGTTAACTTATGTGTACTGATTATGTAAATGTGCCTCAGTACAACTGCCTGCTGTATATAGTGAAATAAAAGGGATCCCTGTCTAAAGAAGGTGTTAATGATGAAGAGGTATATAGAAAAGCAAGGCAGTGTTTTGTATTGTACATTTTTGTGTTTTGGTTATACATGTACAGTGTTCTAGTGTACAATCCCAAAGGTCCAAGCACAAATCCCCATTTATAAAGACCGATCCTCCATCTTGCCGAACAGACGCCAGTGGTTCGTAGACGCTTACCCACAAGTCTTCACCCATTCTCTCGTACCCCCCCCGCCCAGCAGGCAGACCCCGCCGCCGTGTCGGAGCCCAAGGCCGCGCCGCAGACGGAGGGGGATCATCTGATCAGCCAAGCCATCCTCAACTCCGGCATCGCGCTGGATGGCGAGAGGGGGGGAGGCGAGGGCCGGCCCCCGGAGCTGTCCCTGTCCGCTCACGACCGGATGGAGGACATCCAGGTCACGGAAGAGTGCGTGGAGGCGGATTCCGAGGACGCGTCGGTGAGCAGGAAGGGAAAACTGCTTAAGCAGCAAGTCCCGGTTTTCAGTAGTGTACAGCGTCTTCAGTGCAGTGAGATTGACAGGATTGTACTGATGAGGTAACTGAGCCCAGCGGAAAGCAGAAAAATGGTTCCCTTCCTGAACCTTTCTTTTCCCAGGATGGGTCACTGTGACTGAACTGGGGATGCAAAGAAATAAGATGATTTTTTTTTTTTAAGAGACTCGTATTCCATTTCATGTGGTTTGCATTTTTTTGTTTATTGGCCCATACTAGACTTTAAACACTGAGTAGCGCCACTGGTTTCTTTGAGATGCTGTCGGCAGTAAAAAAAGAAACCCCCCTTGTGGGAGTTTTCAACATTTGTTTTACCTTCAGATACATTTTTTCCTACTCTTTCCACTGCAAACTAAAATATTGTATGTGAACTGAATAAAAAAATATATTTTTAGGAGCCTTCAGAGAAAGAGAGTGAGGAGAAAGGACATAAATGCCCTCATTGCAAGCGGGTCTTCAAAGCCCCAAACTACCTACGAATACATGTGAAAGGTCATTTGGGTGAGTTCACAGTGCTTGTGTTTTTTTTTAAAACTGCTATTAAAAATCCCTCGCCTTCACCCCCCAGAAGAGTCATCTGAAACAACTTGACAGCTTCTGTTCACGCATCAGTGGACCTGCTGTAAAAAGAAGC